CCCAAACTTTTGACCGGTAGTGTATGTAACTTAAATCCCATTTGTCACAGTCACCAAGTTGAGTGCCCACAACACACTAGCAGACACTCTGCACATTACATCTGCCAGTGAACTGGGCTACATATTCCAACATGCACCTTACCCACACCAGTTCCAGATTACCACTGATTACAAACAAACAGGTGAAACTCATGAGAACTGATTACCAGGACAATAAACACATCGCACTTTCCAACACATCTTAGCTCAGTCTTGTATCATTAGCTGCGTTTCCACTATCGCGCCTAAAGCGAGCGAGCCAGGGCGAGCCAAGGCCAGTGGGGTTTCCATTGTCACTTCCGGGCCCTAATCGGGCCAAAGCGGGGCTTTCTTGGGGCCAGCGGCCGGCCTTTTTTGGCCCGCCGAATACCTTGGGCCAAGGAGGGCCATCTGGGGCTTCGGGCAGAGTGAAAGGAGAGGCGGGCAGTTTTCTGATCGCACATGAGTACATGCGCCAAACAAATAAAGACATAAGGGAAAGAAAACATCTAGCCTTATAGTCTGGGGTCTTTTTGCGTATGATCACCCTTATGTTTCCCTTTTAAATGTAAGGCTGCTGCATAAAATAATAAAGTAGTTTTAATTTATAGTGACGTTTTTTGCTGCATCCTCCTTTATGTTTCAATAACGCATAATAATCTTTACACCATATTAAATTCACAGCAGACAGTAAAGGTTTTCGAGAGTTTTTGTCAAGTTTAAAATGTTTGTTTGTGCGCGTTTAGATTCCTGTATGTGTGTGTGAGACCGGGCAAAAACGCTCCTTCACAGCTTTGTTATGCCGCGAGCGGCTTTTTTCTTTATTTATTTTGGAGATAATACACAAAATAAATACAACAGAAAGACATAAAACTTAACAAATTACGTGCCCACTTTCGTAGACTTTAAACAATATATTGTCATATCTTGATAAAATAGCCTAAGCTATATTGAAATATAATTTAAAGAATTACAAATATCGGATATATATATAAAATCACATTAAATAAATTAACCAATATCAAATAAACAAAAGCTAGCTATAACAATGTAGGTAGCCTATATACAATACATAAATCAAACCGTTTTAAAGCCACATATAGCCTAACTTTTATTTTACTAAGACCTGTCTGAAAAAAAAAAGATTTTCGATATTTTCTAAACACTAAACACAAGAGAAGGTTTGAAATATTTATATAAAGTAAATATTTATATAAGTAAATATTTATAAAGTATTTGGATGCGATGATATTAATCAAATCGCGCAAACAGAGCATTATTTCGGTGAGTGAAAGCAGAATCTAGCCTATACCTTTTTTTCTGTCACTCAGTCAGTCCTGCGCAGTGCTCGCTGCTTTAAACGCATCGGGGGAAAGTCCAAACACAAAATGTGTTCTATATCCTCAAACAACTGTTTATGTTTTTATATGACGTGGTTAAATTTATAAATGAAACTTTAAATGAACAGCTTTAGTGAATAGCTGCCGAGCGCAACAAATATGGCTATATTTTATTAGGCTACTCGCTCTTGTGCTGAAAACTTAACACGACTTCTATCAAAACGATGATGTTATAAAATACATGCCATATCGAGTTATAAAGGAGAATTACTGTGGCTTTATATTATGGATGTATGCGCTCTCTGTGTTGGGTCCCTGCGTTAGTGGCGAGAGCACTCGATGGAGTCGATGCACAATGCCAACAGTCGGTCGGTGAGTAAACAATAAATGTAATGAATGGAGATACACAGGTCTGTGCGTATAGACATGCTGTACAGTAATGTGTCGTTTGTTTCGGTTGTCTTCATTTTAATGGTTTCATTTCGTGATGATTCTATGGTGTGCTTTATCTGCTTGATTCTCGCTTAAGTGGGCGGGTTGTGTGACGTTTGATTCGGGGACGTTCTGTGGGCGGTGTTTGCGTGACGCGCTGTGAGCTACTAGCCCGACAGTGGAAACGCGACATGATTTCAGCCTCATTTCTCAACCTTCCGGGCTATTGGCCCGGCCCGGCCCGATTAAAGCCCTGGCTCGCACTGGCCCGATAGTGGAAATGCGGCTATTGTTGTGTCACTGTGACTGTTGTTTTTTTTTTTCTGGTTCCTGTTTTTGGTGTTTACCTGTGTTTTGATTTTTAAACTGTTTTTGGGATTTTCTGTCTGCCTTGTCCATTGCCTGTCTTTCTGGATTCCTCTATTGCATTACCAATGTTGTACCATTTTCTTCTGTTGACCTTGCATGTCTGACCATCCCTTTGCTTTAATAAAACTGCATTTGGAACTTTATGTACGCAGTTATGACGCAGTTGATAAAAAAAAATAGTAAAAAGTAAAAAAAAAAAAAAAAAAACACACACACAAAAAAACAGTAACTCTCCAGGGTGTTTCCAGTATTTTGCCCTAAACAGAGTTTTTAAATGTCCTGAGTTTCACCTTTACAGAATAGTTTGATCTCCCTTTGTCAATTCAATATCTAGGAAACAATGTGGGGAATGTGTTATGTTGTTGCTTTTGAAACAATGCAAATACATACCATAATCCAGTCTGTATATTTGATTGTGCAACTTTTCTTGGTCGGTGAGTGTATTTTTATTTCCAAGAAGTGCATTTTCAGAAATCATCCAGAAAGGCTATAGATACACACCACAAGGCATGTGAGGGGCAAATAAGATATTAGACACACAGCAGATTGTCATATCCATCTATAGCACGTCAAGCCAAGGCACTGCATCATTCCTTTATTCCTTAGGGTTTGAAGTAGACAGGAGCAAGATAAAGTGTGAACTACCAAAGTAGTTCTGCTATAGAGATAGAATGAACCACAGGTTAAAGGTCGTCTTTTTAGTCAGCAAGATTTTATGGTCTGATGTTCAGCTCCAGATGCTCCTTTCAGGTCATCGTCAACCTGAAGCAAAAGCAAGCAGTGAGCTACATTTTTACAGTTTCCTGTTTGTACAACCCAGTTTCTTTTTTTTTTGTTGATGTGTTTGATTCTTACAAAACTTTAGAGAACAGTTGTTTTATTATCAGTGTTGTGCTCTTAATGTTTTAGTATTCTTTGATAAATCAAATGTTCAAATGATTATTTAGATAATTTATTTGACGTAGAAATATTTATTTAACATTTTAAATGTCTGTACTGTCACTTTTGTTTAATTAATTAGCCTTTGTTTTGCTTTAAAAAAATTAAACAAATTGTATAAAATGAACAAACTTATAATATTTGAATCATATGACAGTTATAACAGCAACGAGAGACCTACTTGAGGTCTTCCACTTTTTTTACTTCAATTTAGAATGGCAGGTAATGATCTGATAGTGAAGCGTGTGTTATATTGTCATGTAGTGTGTGGGTGGTAGGGAGACTCGCAGCATTAACACTGCTTAGATGGGGTTAATTTGATTACCAGGCAACGGCAGCTGCTAATACACAACACAAACAGACAGATCCTTCAGATGAACGTCCTCTATTACATTTGGGAAAGAAGAGGGTTTCATCTTTACAAGCTTGTCCGTGATCTCCGAGCTGTAATAAACTCCACGCTCAAAGTTGTCCATGATACCTTGGTTAGGTAGAGCATCAGATCTGGCATTAATGCTGTGGTTTCCATACCAACAGCCTGACAGAGAGGAGATGAGGAAGATAAATAGGAGAGCGAGGCCGTCTCACATGCCGCTTGTCAGGGAGTTTGCAGTGGCAAACGCCAGCGCGATACCAGGGCGGTGGAACGGCCTTAATCCACATTTAATTGAACTCTAGAGACTTTGAAGTGAGTCTGCAGAGCAGACAGGAGCAGTGACATTGCTCTCAGCACACAGCACAGCTGCTGCCCTCTCTTTCTCTCTTCTGCTATCCTCTTCCCTTTCTCTCTGTTCATTAATGAGTGCGTATAAGCATTAGCTTTAATACGGGAAGATCAGCTGTTTATCCCCAATAATCAGAGCGCCTTAGATCAGGTTTGGCCCTCTCTTTCCCTCCTAATAACTAATCCTGTTATTCAGCCAAATTGGGAAATGTGAGAAAACAAAAAGTACACAGTAAATGAAACCGATAACTAAATTCCAAAGATAAAACAGGTTTTTGACTGCTGAGCATCTGTACATGAAAAAGTAGTATTTCCCGGTCTATAAAAGATTGTAGTTTTCCAGGAATGCGATGATTGCTGTGACGTATTTGCAACAAAAATTTGTAGAATTTGACATCAGCACCAAAAAAGATCTCAAGTGCAAGTTTTCTAGAAAAAAAATTAACTGTGTCATCATGTGTTTAGTACCATTTATTTCTTGTTTCATATAAATCATTTATATAAAACTATACTATTTACTGTAGTTAGTAAATATTTTGCAATGAAAAAAATTTACTATTTTTGCACTTTACAGTATATTTGACCTCATTACTGCCTGAACTTACTGTATTTCTTTCTTTTCTTACATAAATGGCCAATTCTTTTATCCAAATATTATGTTTTAAATGTGTTTTTTTATTCCAGTTATTAAAATGTAGAAGGACATATTTTCTAAACCACTTTAGATATAGAAATTCTGAATAACATTTATTTTCACAATATTATTTCTTTCAGCATTTGTTGCTCTTTCTGTACAACAGATTTTGTTAGCATTTCCTATGTTTAAAATTGTCATGATTGTTTAGCAGCATCACATTTTAAAACCACATCTCACCAACTCGAAGGGCAAATATTGATAGATTTCCAGTTCTCTAGGTACTGATTACCTTTTAGTGAACTGTGGCCTTCCTGGTCCTCTTCTCTGTGTGTCTGAATGGGGCTCATTTCAGCGCTTAAAGCATCTCTTTTTCATGAGGACTGATCAATAATACACATTAATCCTGCTCTGCGACCCAAGGCATGAGCTATGGGTGATAAATGAACTAAAACCTTCCCTCTGCCCTGCTGCTTTCTTGTTCGCATTTCCGTTATTTTTGACACTTTCTCTGATCAATCATGTTTGTTCGTCTCTTCTACAGATATTGGCCTACACAGAGGGTCTGCATGGAAAATGGCTGTTCACCGAGATCAGAGCAGTTTTCTCACGCCGCTATTTGCTACAGAACACAGCGCTGGAGGTCTTCATGGCCAACAGGAGTAAGCACTGATCAGCTGCTATTCTGGAAAGTCTTAAATGGGTCATGAAGAGTCAAATTTAAGCTTTTTGAATATAATAAAAACATACCAGATATTTGCACACAATGTTTGGAAGCTAGTGGAACCTTGTTTCATTGCATTTGGCAGTGTAAAAAGATTAAATTATTTTGGGAGGAAATAAAAGTCACAAGTAAAAAGATAATTTCGGAACATATCCTCTTCGACCCAAAGCTTTTTTTTTTTTTTTTTGCTGGGCTTATACCCAGAGAACTCAAACTATAGTAAAAGCGAACAAGTATTTATGGACCTCAGCTTGCTTTAAGCCAAAAAATTTGTATACCTTATACCTTTATACCTTAAAGGGG